ATTAATATTTTCAGATATTAATTCAAAAATTAAAAAATAATAATTTTAATATTTTTCGTGATGATAATAGCCATACCCCAAACTATTGCCTTAGCACATCCTGGACTGAAGGAAAGGAAAAACACAATTATTTTGAAAGCACCAAAATTTCTTGACCTACCTAACAAGTTGTGGACTACTATTTGATTTCGTTAAAATTTTGAAATCATTCGAAATTGCATGATTTTTTTTTTTTGGTATGAACCACCCGATGTTTGAAAATCCGTTGGGTCACTGACTAATTCGGATTTGAGCCAGACAGAATCTAATGAACAACAAAATTCTTTCTCACGAGTTTTAATGAACTTGAAACCAAGAACTCTTATTAACCAGTTGTGAACTACTATTTGGTCATTCGAAATTGCATGATGACCTCATGCAATGAGGCAAAGAAAAAGGGCCCACCTACGGATGGTTGGTTCTCTGCCTATAAATACCATGACCAAAGCAAAGGCAAAGACCGGAAGCAAGAGAAATTGGGAAGAGCTAAGGGAGTGAGTGCGCCTGTGACAGAAAACAAGTTTAAAATTTCCTAACATTTCTTGCTGAAATTGAACTTCGAGGAAAAAGAATCGTATAACTTGAGAAAGTACGAGGTCCCCTTTATCCTTTCTTTGGTTTATGATATCTTGTTATGTTTATTTCTTCCCTTTAACTTTTGCTGGTTTTAAAACGTGATTGCATTGCATATATACTTGTTTTCCTCTTCTTGTAATCGATGAGCATAACAGACGAATTTGATAATAAATGGAAGAGAAATGCTTCCCCTTCTTTTAGGTACCATTTGCATATACCAGTATGGTTTTACCATGTAGAGCATTTCAATTTAGACCAATGACGAGGAAAACAGAGAAACCGTGTCCTGCTGTGGAAAATATGGGTCTACTATCTGTTTTTAGACCTATAAATTAATTTCAGTATTCTCCAATATTAGCGAAAAACTTTAAAGAGAAATTGAGATCGAACTTGGAGGAAAGAAGGCTTGGAGAAGGTACCAGACTGCATGGTATTTTATAAAGATACGCATTATTTTTATTATTTTGATGGTAGATTTGGAACCTTTAATTCCAAATGATGAGTTGCAAAATTATGGATTTACTCATCACGCTATGTTTTTTAATTATCCGCTAGTTAGTGAATGATCTTTACACATGGATTACAAATGTTTAGGTATTATGGTATCATGATTCAGTTCTTATTTCATTCTTTCAGGAACTTGCATATTATGGCACTGGCCGCAATAATGACAATCGTCATAATCACCGTGTCTATTGCAATCTTTGCCTCTGGCACGGCGGTGAGGATTGCAATAGACAATTCGAAAAGGGAATTCTGCGTACCCGTGGTTGACAATTTTAAGAAACTGAAACAAATGTTGGACAGCCTAAACCGCCTAAAAGAAGACGTAAAAACAAGAATTAGGAAGATTGAAAATTCTGGAGGAAAGGTGAACAGAGAAGCGAAGGACTGGGTTACAGAAGTAGAATCCATCATTGAAGTTATTCAATTTCCTGGTGACTGTCTTCCTAGGGTTTCACTACGCTTCCTCGACACTTTTAATGAAGATGTTCGAGAGGGAATTGAACAAGTTAAAAAACTTTATCAACAAGGAACCTTACATGGTGGAATTGTGACTGTTCAACCTTCTGGTCGAATTGTGACTGATCAACCTTCCGGTGGAATTGTGACTGATCAACCTTCTGGTGGAATTGTGACTGATCAACCTTCAACCATGGAGCGAGTAGTGAAGGTTAGGGACATGTGTTTTCTATTCGCTACATGCTGCTTGTTCGCAATTACCTGTTTGTTTCTATATCATGTGTTTAGCCATTAGATTTGGCAACTACAACTCATTTTTGCTCTGTTTGGTAATTTGAATTTGACAGTGTGTATTTGAATTTGAGGTACTCAAATTCAATTTTATTGTTTGTTTTTACTTAAATAAAATGTAATTGAATTTGGATGAAATACATGTATTTTAACGGAGTAATTCTCAAGAGTAAATATCGTGTATTTCAATTTCACCCTAAAACCCTCGAATTTCAATTTTGAATTGAATTTGGTCTGCACTCTCTTCTCACCGACGGCGATGAGCCTTCACCGTCCGCCCTGACTCTGCCGCTGCTCTCTCACCTTCGCGTCGTCGGCCACTTAACCTCTTCTTGATAGTAGGTTCTCGATCACGCGCATCTACCTGACTTTTCATCATCTCTCTCGATAGATCAGTGCCTCAGGTAATTCCTCTTCCTTCCTCAAATTTTTATTGATTTGCGTATGACTACCTCCTAGATCAGCTCTATTTAATTCTGTATTTGGGTCAGAATCCCTTGATTTCGTTTCTTACCAAAGAATCTCATCCGCCTTGACTACTTCCTGCCGTGATTTTTTTTTTTTTTCTGTTCTGCTTCCGCCTTTCCGTATTCCCCTTGAAAGAAAACCAATTTGGGAAGGAAAACATGGGTGAGAGGGTTCATTTCTTCACTTCCTTTCCTCCTTTTTGCTTAGTTCTCTATCTGGGTATTTTTACACTTTTTTGTTTTTCAATTTTACATTGTTGAGTTCAGAGTTCTTGCATAGGAGAATTATGAGAAGTAATAAAGGTTATTTCTAAAGATTTTATTTGGGTTTTGTTTTTTTGGTTTCAGTTTTAAGGTTTGCTAGTTTGTTTGAGCTGATTTATATTTTCTTCATTTAACAAGGATGAAATTAGTATTGAAAAAACATATAGTTGATGTTTGATGAGCTAAATTTATATATATGTTAATAGGGAATTTTTACTTTGATATTATTGATATTTGGATGAGTTTTATAGGATTTTATTTGATTTTACATGATTTTTATTCTTTGTGTAGGAAAGGATTTAATTGGAAGAAATCTTACCTTTTAGAAGTAAATTGAAGAGATCAGAGACTTGAGGATCAACTTGTGCAGAATCCAGAAGTCAAGAACCAGATCTGCCATTTTACCATTGAAGAAATTGCAAAAGGAGGCCAAAAACCCGACACGGGTGTAGTGTCGACACATTATCGGGGTGT